GATCTGCCTGTTCTGCTCCCCACTCTGTTTCTGGTGAATCCTCTCACCTCCCCTACATCTCTGGCCTCTAACCCAGTTCTATATGCATAAATAAATAAAATCTTTTTAAAAATTATCATATTTTAAATCTAAAATTTAATTTCCGATGTGTAACTGTCACTATTTCTTTCTCTTCTTAGTTAATAAATCACCATCAATTTAGTCTTAGACCGAAACCAAATATTTTACTTGAGAGTAAAATACAGAATCACATTATATTTCAAATATGACTTACATAGAATGTGAAAATTCATTTTACAAAAAGAAAGGATACTTAATATATTAGTCTCATTAGTTCATACTTAACTATCTTTTCCAAGTAATTAGTTTTCATTCTGAAGACTTTCTGCTAAACATATTTCTGTATTAATATACGCATGCCTTGTGAAAGTGAGGTGTTAAATGGATGCTTAACTCAAAGAATATTGTAAATACTTGGGCATTAACCCAATAATGTCTTAAAATTTCTTCAAATTTTGAAGTAACTTTTCATGTTATATTATTTGTGTGGGGTTTTTTGTCATGCTCAAGTAATAACAAAGGAAATAGACCTGAAACACCTGAATAATTGAATACTACCTAGACACCTTGCCTAGAATATTACTGTAAAGTGGTAAAGTCAGTTCTCCACCTGAAATGTGTGTGTTGTCTGCATTCTAGACTTCTGGATTTTAACACTGAGTTTAAAATACAAAATGTTTATACTAAAAAGACCTATGATTTTAAATAAGTAATGAATATTTTATGAAATCCCTATAAAAAGGATCTATCACTACCTTGACATTAGAATTTAGACAAGTCCTAGTACTAATCATCTTCATCGGGTCCACAACAAAATTAGGATCCTCTTTATTTTCATAGACTTTCCTATTTCACCCTATCACTTTCTACATTTCTATGTAAAGAGAATATGCCTGCCAAAAACACACTCAGAATTCCTCTGCTAACAAACACTTGTAAAAATAAAACTTTTGAAAAGGCATAAAGGGAAGAAACAGCATGTTCTAAATGCTGTGAAGATCCCAACATGATTTTCATTAGTCTTAGGCCCATGCTGGCAGCCATTTGGCTCACACTTTAATGTCTCAAATTCTGGATGTGTGCACCAGCTCTCAGTTCTAGAGCTAATGAAGAAATATTTGCATGACCTTGTTTGTAGCTTTTTTGTGCTATGTCTAATGACAAGTCACTACAAAAAAGAATTTAGCCACTTTTGAACCTAGAAAGATGTTTCAAATGTTGTCAGTTACTAAGATTACTAAATAAGACAACACATAATAGTTCCCGTGTGTTTTTTAAGTTCATGTTTTCTACCTATTTCTAGAAATAATTTTAAGTAACCAGAAAAAAAACATACACATGTAATAGAACTTGATAAATATCAAATCAAGTAGAAAGGAGATAATTACAACAAAATTCCAGCCTTAAACTCTTCATGGCAGTATAATTCAGACAAGAAATAATTTCACTGATGTAATATTATTAGAGAAAGACATTTTTCTTAGTATCAAAACCTAAGCTTAATCTATCTCATAGGAATATAGAAATTTTCAGTAAGCAATATCAATATACAATAAGATACAAGTGGTCTCAGCAATCATTTAACTGAACTACATAAAGCACTTTATTTGAAATGTTATAAATTGATGCCTCTATTTACATGAAGAGGTAAATCCTGATTACCAGAGACAAAATTCTGTGATAATACAAAAAAGGAGATTTTGAAAGTGTAAAGAATAGGTCTGTCGGAACTTCTAATATCAAACGTTAATTTACATCCTTACATTTCAAGTATCTATGTAATTTTATTTTGTTAAAGGCTGAAAACAAATCCTGAATATTAATAGATATTTTTGATAGTATTACATTCCTGGAAATTTATAAAACTTAGATTGTAACTCTTGAGTTAAAGAAGAATCATCTTTCTAAAAGCCAGAACAGCAAAAGTTTTGATGGCAGAGCCACAAAGTGTGTATGAAATATACCATTCAACTCAGGGTGAGATGGTCTTATTAATCATAAAGTTCCACAAGATACATATATATATATATATATATATATATATATATATGAGAAAGATCATATAAACTCTTGCCTTGACCATAAATTATACATTGCCTTTATTTCCTGCCTCAGACAACTGGTGTAAAAAACTGTATCCAAAATTTCCATGAAAGATTTTTTAAAACATAGGTTTGATAGCCCAACTATGTGATATGATTTGGGAATCACTGTAAATGACATAGACATTCTTAAAGACAGAATTTAAATAATATACAAAATTCTTCTCTCTTCCAAGTATCAGACTAGTAGTGGGATGGCAATTGCTACCATCACCTCTAAAACATCTCAACTAATTTTTGCAGGTCCAAAATGACTTTTGCTATCCAAAATTTAGGAAGGTTGTGCCAATAAGAAGTCTCAAAAATTAAGTTAAGACAAATACTGCTCTTATCACTCTCAGATCACGTATCAAAATTAATCCTCACTGAAATCTGTCTCTTCCACTTCAATTTCCCCGGATGTTGCCACCTCCTTTTTTGACACCCAAAGTCAGCCTGTACAAGGTTGTAGATGTATATACTAGATAACATATCATGTGGGAACAAATAAAGTTTGATTTTCTTCTCCATTCTGAGTAGTGGAGACAAATCAGAGATCAGGTGAACTGAATTAAAGTGTGGATTCAACTGGAGGAAGAGGTAGCCTATACATAGGAATTAAAATGGTATAAAGATATTAGGTCATTCCCCACACACACACACCCAAATGCTGCATTGATCTCTCTTGGTGACTGAAACTTTAAATGAATCATTTATGAAAAAGCAATATAGTTACCAAATTTCTGCTAAACTTAAATCTCACACAGATGAAGCCATCTAGCACAAATGTTTACAAGTGGATTGTTTACTGTGACTGTCCTTAGGAAAAAAGGGTGCAAACAAGTGCATATTGAGAAGAAAAGGGCAGGTAGTTGGCCTCTGACTAGAAGAGACAGGACTGAGAGAGATGTCTCAGCGTGAGAGACAGGGCAGTCCAGGTAGCCCAAGGGATAAGGGACCAGGGTAAGGGGGTTGATAAAGACTGTAAGTTTAAACCACCTTCCAGCTTGCCCCAAAGTGCAAACAGCTATCAAAAACTCCATGCGGTTTTTTACTGAGAGAGAAAACTTTCTGAAGAGTGACGCTTAATCAGACAACTCCTTTAGGATACTTTCAACCTCCCTTTATTCTTCGTCATAAACATACAGAGTCTCAACTAATCAATGTATCCTACCTACCCCACATCTGGTTTCGACCTATTTTCAATCAGGGAGCTACTTGCGGACTAGCTTGAAGTAATCACCTAGGTCAAAGTATGCCTTCTTTGGCAGCTGAGTCACAAAGATGATGAAGCAACCACTTGAATTTACCCAGTTGTATTCAAATTTTATTCTAATTACCTTTGCAAAGAATCTTGACTTGCACAAAGGATCTGTTCTGCACATCAAACAAACAAAAAAACCAGAAACTGTTGAGTTGCATGTCTCAAGCGAGTGGCACCTGAGCATATAACTCATCAGCAAAGGATAAGGACTTGCCATACAAAAGAACCACCTGCCTCAATTTCAACTCCCCAGTAGAGGATCGACTAAAGATGCCAGCTAAGTAGGTATGATTTTATCTCACACACCTTGATACCCTGAACTTTTGCAGGTGCTTCTAGGCTTGAGCTTGGGGTCATTTGTTCAATTGTTATGCCTTAGATTTGGGGGATTCATTGTGGAATTTTAGTTATTTAGTAAAACTGCATAAAATATATAAATACAAATTCAGATAGAAACAGATTATGATATTAAATTTATATGTACTTTATAGATTTATATAAATTTATATTTTAAAAAATTTTAAAAGATCTGAGCTATTATTTTGTTTTAAGAATTACAAAAGTATGTTGTTAGTATTAATAATACTGTAATAATGCATAATCAATACACAAAAATATTGCATTTTATATAATTATATTCCTTGAAGTCTACTCATTCAATAACCACCATAGAATGTCAGAAACTCCATCCTTAGATTTCTACTTTCTTGTAGTTAAGTCTTAGTCAACAACCAGTGACTGTAACTGCTTTTAGTATTTAGCACTATTAACATTTATCTCTGCTATATTTAGCAGAAATATATTGTGAAGGAAGCACAAAACTGATAATTACTTTTTAAATTTTTCTGTTTTAAGAGAAAAAAAATTTGGTTTTATTCTATAACAACTTTAAATTCTTAACCCCCAATTTTAAATTCTAAAGTATATAATTGGTAAGTAGAGAAGCAAGAATTAAAGAGTCAATGAGGAAAGTTCGGCTGTATTAGAGAAAGAGTGTCTCTTCTACCAAAACTGAACCTTAACTCAATCCATTAAACTGTATCTACATTTTGCCTGGCCAAAGATTCCACTACAGTGAACAATTTCTCCCATAATCCTATCATTTCCTTTACTGCTATTCAGATATTCCTAAACTTGCTGTAAAATGTACATTCTAGTACAGTAGATATCAAGTTCAAATTTGTCTCTCCACATCTTACTAACAAAAAGTGCAGCATTCACAGAATTCAAACACTGCCTCTGAATGTATTCTGTTGAAAGAATCAAACACAATATTTCCCTTTTAGAGGGCTGTGCAACCATTGTAAACAGCAAGGGATTGCATAATGTTTCAAAAGTTTTTCCAGTGCTATGTCATCCATGTACTTTAATAGTTAATGTGTTTTTAAAATATATTTTGAGGAGTTGATAAGAACTTGTGTAGTTTCAGAAAACAGAAAATAAAAGGATTCCCTCAGTATGCATGGACTTAAACTTTAAGCATGCTCTTTATTGCTTTCTCAACTTAGTGCCAGAATTACCAAGTTAAGATGAAAGAGAGGCATTTCCTTTCCTGATAGTCCTGGAGGTACCTTAAGGGGTTTAGCATTACTTACCTGAAGATGGGTCTTTGGAGATGTTTCTTCCTGATTGTGACATGGTCATCCATTTAAAGGTGAAGGTTTAACTTCTTCCTGGAAAAGACTCCAGAAAATCCAGGGAGAGAAAGTGCAAGTTTATCCTAAACTATTGTGCTGCAAGGAGCCAAGAAGGAAAAAGTAATTTCCTCTTTCTCTTTTTGGGTGCTGGGAGAAAGCTTCCCTGCTCTCTGCCAGCTGAGCAGTGTGTCCATAGAGGCCACATAAGACAAGCACATTGGGGCACTCCCCCACAGAGCAGGGTGTGCAAAACCACCAAGAGTCACGTTGATATGAGAAAGAGAAGAGTGCAGGACCCTCGGAAACAGAACAAAACAAACAGAAAACTTCCTAGTGCAGTGTCACCCAGGTAGACGCTCCCTAAGTTATTGCAGCCATGAGAGCAGCCCTTCCACATGCTGGTCAAGCCCGGAAAGCCAAGTCCCTCCCTGTCTTTAAAACAGCCTGTTCTGAGGCTCCACTTTTTTTCTTCAAAATAAAAGTTGTACAGCTGGTTCAGCCGTCCCATGTGAGTACCCTCTGTAAGTATGTTCTGTTAAAATAAGAACTGTATACAAGCTAATGAAGAAAGATAGACTCGGGCTGTGTGGCTGGCTGTACTTCAAGAGATTATAATTATTTTACAATCTTGCTTTTATTCACGCTGGTTAACGTGTGGAGACAACTCATCATTTTTGGCACTCATAACCTAATAACCTACACTTGGCTGAAGTTGAAGATGCCATTTCAACTGATAGAAACTCATGTGAAGTCAGCCAGAGCTACATAACTTAGATGAACAAGAACTGCTCAGTTCCTGTCAGTGACACTGTCCCCAAATGTCTGGTCCCAAATGTGGCTTTCCAATGCAGAAGGGACACGGCAAAAATGACATGGAAATGCTCACACTTAAAAAAAAAAATCCCCCCCCAAATTTCCTGGAAACCTATGATTTGTATATTATATGATAAAATTTGACTTTATGACTATAAGAGGAAAGAAAAGTAAGTATATGAAGGTAGTCATGAATAGCTGAAGATAAATGACACTACAATTATTTTATTTGGAAACAGATTCACACTGTAATTCCTCTGCTAGTTACAGATAAGGTGAATCCTTGTATTTCACTATAGCTTCATTGGAAATGTCCCTGTACCTTAACAAAATTTCTACCAAACCAATAATAATGTCATGAGATTCTAGGTCAGAGGTTTAATGTGTAACAAAATAAACTGTCAAAGCAGTCTTAAATATTTACATTTAAAATGTTTTATAAAAAAATGTAAATGTCGGCCCTTCCTGGTGGGAGCACGTTAAAGCACAGCACTAAGAAGGTAAGGCCACTTCCACATGAGTTCCATCCCAGCCTGTTCCGGAAGTGACCACATGGTGAGGCAGACCTCTTCTGACCCGCCCGCTGCTCTCCTCAGCAGTGTACTTTGTCAGTCAGCCTGTTCTGCTCCCCACTCTCTCTGGTGAAAGCTCTCACCACCCCTACACCTCTGGCCTGTACCCCAGTTCTGTATGAATAAATAAATAAATCTTTAAAAAAAAATGTAAATGTTTTTAAAATTTACATGTAATATAAAAATGGGAAAAACAGCATCCTCCCGGGTGGGCATAGTGGTTTAAAGCACAGTAGGAAGAAGCTCAAGTCACTTCAGCACGAGCTCGTCCCTGTCCTGGAGGTGACCCACATGGTGAGGCAGACCTCTTCTGACCCGCCCGCTGCTCTCCTCAGCAGTGTACTTTGTCAGTCAGCCTGTTCTGCTCCCCACTCTCTCTGGTGAAAGCTCTCACCACCCCTACACCTCTGGCCTGTACCCCAGTTCTGTATGCATAAATAATTTTTTTAATGGGAAAAACAAAACATACATTCCTGTAGTTAAAGATCCATAGCAAAAATGTTCAAATGTCATGAAGGAGGATATGACCATTTAGGTTGTCATCTGTAGTCCTTTGCCACTTTCTATATACTTCCACAGGGACATAAATACTTCTGTTTGTTACATCCAGAGGAAAGACAAAGGACAGAGAATTACAAAGAAATATCTGATTTTACTGAATAATTCTATTCCACATAGGGAATGGAATCAGTATGAGAGAACAATGAATGAAAAAAAATAAATTTGTTCTAGTCCTAGGTTTACAAACATACAGGGCCTTTGTGGGGAAATTTCTCACTTATCTATGTCCCAGTTTCCTCATTTGTAAAATGAAGTTATCAATTGCTTCTAGGTTCTAGGTTCCTTTCCAGCTTTAATGGTACCATTACGCCATTTCAATCCCATCCATATTCCCAAAAACAGATGACTAGATCAAGAAGATGTGGTGCATCTATACCGTGGAATATTATTTAGCAATCAAAAACTATAAACTCATGCCACTCACAGCAACATGAATAGAGCTGGAAGGGATTATGCTAAGTGAAATAAATCAAGAAGGAAAAAGAAAAATATTGGATGGCTTCACTTATAGGAGGAATATAAGGGAAACACATAAGGAGAAGGGAAAAATAATAAATAAATAAATTAGCAGACAAATATAAACCAGAAACATTCTGCAGAGGAGGGGAGAAGAAGAGGGAGAGGTATTAAACAGAGGAGAAGAGAACACAAGGAATTCCAGTGATGGTTCACAGGTCACTGGGTGGTGGGAATGTTACAGGGACAACATCTAAGAGACCACAAACACTGTACAAAAATGAACAATCATGTCAAATGTATGTGTCTGTAAGTATATAGATATTATATTACTGTATTGTTCATTGTGTTCTCAATCCATCAGCCCTAGAAAGGGCTCCCTGATATTAAGAATAATCAATGAATATGTTCTAAGATCTAAAGGAAAGTTGTTCTGTTTTATATATATATATATATATATATATATATATATATATATAAACCTTGCCTAAAATCAAGGAACACACATTTAAATCTTAACTTTAGCAGCGATTTTCGCTTCAATTCCCTGCACATCCGTTTCCTTACGTCAAACTGAGACACTGGACTGCATGACCTCTAATATCCTATCCAGCTCTAAATTTTTGTGGTTCTGTGACTGACCTTAAGATAAAATGTCAAGTTATTTAAATTTAGTGTCCAAGCAAGAATAAACTCTCTAGTCATTTTTAGCTCTTAACCATTACAAGGTCATGCAATCTACAGAGTACTTTTCATCCCTATTGTTTGAGGACTGAAACTATAATGCATACACTACTATTTGAATGTGGATATAAATTACAGTAATGTTATATTTTCTGATTAAAAACATTTTTTCACTATAGCTTAACATTCAACTTGGAACAATTCTCACTAGAACATAAACTCCAGGAGGACATGGATTAGTGTTTGTCTTATCCCTTGTCCATGGAATATAAGACACTCAGTGGGTAATTTATAGAATGAAGAAGTACATGAACTAAATCCTGATTGATGTTATTTCATCATCTTCTGACTTAATATCTTTCTAAAAACTCAGTCATATCTGGCAGATATTCAATCCATGTATATTCTAACCCATTATATTTATTCTAGAAGGCACATGAAATTAGAGGAAAATGGACTTCTTTGACCATGAAAAGCAGGAAAGGAGTGACTTCAAACCCAAACCTGTTCCTTTCAGTGCTCTCTATTACTTCTAACAATATCTCTTATCTGGTCACCTGGCTTCCCGCAGTCATCTACTGAAATATGTTCCTGCTCGTTCATTTGGCCCATTCAGAGTTGTACAGTCACTCCCTTCTAATTGATTCCAAACTCAGTCTTCTGTGGTGCTGCAGGACCCTCAGTCACAGTCTTCATCTAGATCCCTGCCCACACTGTCACCCTTTTGGCTTCTGTGTAGGATCTCATAGAAGTATGCCCAGTTCATGCAAATACATTGGCTCCATCTCATCAGATTTCCCTACAAGGCAAACACAACTTACTGAGCACTCCATTTCAAATAAGCACTGAGAAATAATTTGGGATTAACCTTATCACACAGCATTATATTTGTTTTCTAACTCTGTTGTAACTCACTAAGGCACTGAATACATTCTCTGCTTTAAACTTTCACTTTCAACCAAACATGCTTCCCACCTGGGATTTCAACTCTGAGCTAAGGAGTAAAAATATTTTGATTGTTTGTACAAAATAGCTTTAACCTGGGTCACTTCTCTCCTGGGAAGAAGATACTTTACCCATCTCATATGGCAGAAAATCTCTTACTTTGTCATTCATGCTTTATAATAACTTCAAACCTGGATCATGTATAGTCAGGTAGATCTTCCAGAATTTTGGAAAGCCTTTTATGGTGTGAATACAACCTGATTTTCAAATATTATTTTACAGGAGATTCAAAAGTTCCATTTAGGTATTCAAAGCCAGGCTTCTCACTGGTCTTTAACTTCATCTGTGAGAACCCTAATCTCACCCCCATCCTTGCATGAAGCAAATTAATGTCTCTGGTTGACTGGGAGAAGGTAAGATTATACTCATAAAAACAAAGAGAAGAATACATTATTCTCATTATTTTATCAAGTTTTCTAACTCATTCAATGCTGTTGGAGCATGGTGAATAAACACTGTATTAACATTCTGTCTGGTTGGAAACTCACCTCCTATACCCTATCTCAAAACTCTGGTCTTTCAATTTGTTCTTCACTATCATGCCAGGACTCTGCTGATTTCTGCCTCTTTTGCACACACTGTTCTTTATAAAATGGCCTCCTCTGCTCACTGTTCTGATTTCAGTTGCAGTGCCACCTCCTCAGAGGGTGGACTCCTGTGACGACCCCGTCTGAATTTCATACCTGCAGCACGGCCCTTTTTCCATCATGGTAAATATCATACATAATTTGTGGTATAACTATTTGTTTCCAATCTACTTATTTTATGAATGGATAAATTCATTTTATAGGATACAGTATCTCAGGAGAGAAAAAAGGCAGAAAATATAAATGCTACTGATTACTATAAAAATAAAGCTAGTCTTATACCGAAAATATATTCTCTTCATATGTATGACTGTAAGAACCTAAAAATAGACCCTTGCTGATCTTTGCATTCGAATGATTTTCTAATTCTTCCATATATGTTTTTTCTTAGAATTTGTCATTATACTTCAAATTGGGAGCTTTATATGTGTAAGGATAAATTTAATATCAAAATTTAAAATCCCTTTGAAGTGGTTCTCAATGACCAAAATGGTTTCTACCTTATAACACAACCTGAAAGTTATATGTTATAATGCAATGTTATTTCCATTTTAAAAATGATAAAAATGAAGTAGTACAGATTAAGTGTTCCCCTGATTGGTGAGCTCTTCAGCCAGGTATCAGTATTGAGTCTTTCTACTTCACAAAATAGAAGAAATTCCTCTTTGTCATTGAAGTGTAGAAACAGGTTAGTTAAAA